TCTAGAAATCAGTTCATTCAGTATTTTATGTAAAAACACTTTCAAAAAGAGTAATATTCACTATAATTATTGCTTCTAGGAGTGAAACACATAGGTGAGGAAAATGTTAAACACTCAAGGATAAGCAACTAAGATGTTCCGCAGCTCCTGAACTTACAAGGAAAATAATGACCACTTACAGATAGCTCCAATATGCCAGAAACCCTGATTTAATGAAGGCAAAAATGAAAGCCAGCAATGTGTGAACAAAGGTTGCAGCAGCAGTTCAAATGGAGAAAAGTAGTGAGGGTGACTTACCACAATACCTTTAAAAAACAACAAACACAAGAATTAGCAGAGCATTTATGCAGCATGCATCAATTTAGTTTTTCAACCTTTAGTCAAAGTAATACCAAAATAATACTGAAGTGCTATATGTATTATCTATTTATTTGCTCTTTATGGCTGCATACATATTTAACTACATTATAATGTAAAATAAAAATTAGAAAATTTTATCTACATTGAAGGACTTTCATAAATGTCTTCCTTCAGATGGAGTTCATAGCTTACTCAAATTTACAAACTACTACTCTAGATCAGAAACTATTCAGTGCAGGACAAGAGTAACACAGGAAAAGTTATTAATACATTTACACCACCGAGATGTACAACTTCAAAGAAGGAGGTAATCTCAGGCCAGCCTCATCCAGAATGCAACACCAGAGTTATGCTCAAACAAACTATCCTGTAGGACCCAGAGAAAGCAGGGTCTTAGAAGCCTAATCCCTAAACTTAGTGACTTTTCTTCTGTTTCACATCACAAGTATAAAACAATTGATCAAACTCGAATTTGAGTGTTCAGGCAAATCATTTCTCCTATTCAAAGTTGACAGTTAGGGAGCTAAATTATCAAACAGATCTCTCATCTACTCACTCAATGCTTATTGAGCATCTATTATGTACCAAGCGCTCTTTCAGAGACTGGGGATACAGAAGTGAACAAAGTACAAAATCTCCATCCATCGAGCTCACATTCTAGTTAGGAGACAGATTAATAAGGTACACAGTGTAGAAAAGGTCAAGGGCTATGCAGAAAAAGGGGAGCAGAGTGAGTATGTGCGTATACAATGACATATTTAGGCATATGATTTCAGAAAGTTATTTTACAGTCACATAGATCACAAAATAAATTGTTTTAGAATAAATAAAACCCATAAAAAGATACAAATACGAGTGCCCATTTATATGACAAATCCAGAAATAAGAACATTAGGAAAAAACACAGAAAACAAAATGGCACAAAAAACAAGGCATTTGGGGAACTGAATCCGATCCTGGTGTGTGCTCATTCCATTCCTGAAACACTCAAGTAGATTTGAAACAGATTTTAGAACCTTGATGGAGACCCAAAAAACTTAAAAGGGAAAGAACATCCAGGAATCAGGTTTAAAAAATACCAGTAGACTGTTTTTAAATCACTCTTTGTGAGCAATTAAGTGTACAGTATTCCCCAAATTTACAAGGCGAAAACTAAGCATGGGTGAAAGAGAAAAGTGACATCATGACCGTCTGATGCCATTTAGCTCTACATCTCTTGCATTACGGAAACACACAAATCTAAAACTACACATAAATGCCTTTCACAGGCCCTTCTTTGGGAAGATGAAGATAAGGAAGGAGTGGGGAGGAACAAAAAACAAGTTAAGTAAAGCAGTAGAAACAACAACAACAACAAACTATCTTTGAACTTAACATTAAGAAAGAAGGGTATCCTTGAGGGAAAGAAAACATCATTTTCCTAGCATGGAACTAAGAAGGCTCAAAGAGGGTAGGTAGAAATCTTAAATATACTCAGCACATTTAATCAGAAAAATCAAATTACTGTGAACTTTTCTCTTTAGTCTTAAAAAAGGACTTCAAGTACAAAATGCACTTTTGAAAAAACAGGCCTACAGATATTTTAATTTTTTTTTTTTTTTTTTTGAGTTGGACTGGAGTGCAGTGGCACGCTCCCAGCCATCACAGCCTCGACCTGCTGGGCTCTGGCGATCCTTCTCCCTCAGCCTTCCAAGTAGCGAGAACTACAGGCATGCGCTACCACACCTGGCTAATTTTTGATTTATTGTAGAGATGAAGTCTCGCCAAGTTGCCCAGGCAGGTCTCAAACCCGCGAGCTCAGGCAATCCACTCACCTCAGCCTGCCAAAGCACGGGATTATAGGCTGAGCCACCAAGCCCGGCTATTTTAATAATTAATATCCTACTGCACCATCACATTTCTATCCAATTCCTGCAAATCTCAGAAACAAAGAAAATGGCAGTGACTCTCCAAAATACTAATGAATCAAAGGGCAAACCTTTAGAAAGGGAGTGATTCAAGTGTCAGGAAACACAAAACCTAGTTAAACATCCTTGAAGATTATCCAATCCATCTAGTACACACTTTCTTCAACTGACATAATTGAATGGATTTTTACCTTCTTAGGTGCTCATTTCTTCGGAGTCTGAACTAGTTCCCTAGACTGCTCTACATCTTTTTGCGTGTTGACTTATGGAGTATGTTCTTCTCATCCACTGAGACCCAATTCTCCCTAACTTGCAGAATCATCTCAAAGTTAGGTAGTATCTACTGCCTAAGGAGAGGGGTCTACTCACCCATTCACTCCTGCAACAAACGTGATTCCTGGAAGTAAAGAATTTTAAACAATTTTAAGATAGGAATAATACATGAAAAAAGAATTCAAAAGATGCATGCATTCTAGAAATAAACTACTTTTTAAAAGACACGTTACACAAATCTCCATCAGCCCTTTTCCGGGCCTCTCTGATGCTCTCGCTTCCAGGGCAGATCCTCTACTCCGCCCTCCAGAAACTTCTGCCTAAGTACAGTCAGTTCTGCTATAATAGAACTGATTTAAATAATGGGGAACAATGTGAGTAAAATGTGAACTTATGTTTATGAAAAAGAGTCACATATAGAGTTTTGCTTATGGACCATCATCGTGTCTGTGAGAAGCACTGGGTGTACTACACAAATGCACACAACTGAGCTAGGAAGACAAAACGCACACATCTCAAACACCTTTTTAAAAAAACAGCCATCATGCACACATCCCAGCATACTGTTCTCCTCGAAATTTTTAAAATATTCTGTGAGTTCCCACAATGCTCCAGGACACCTCATTTTGGGAACTGAACCCCCAACTAAGTCTAACAGCTGTAATTACCTACATGCTTCACCAAGTAGCCAGCCCAAACCTCTCTCCAGGACTCCAGGTTTGTACACAGTAGTCCCTCCCCCAACACCCCCATCCATGGATTCGATTACACAAGGTCAACCACGGTCCCAAAATAGTACATGAAAACTCCAGAAATAAACAAGTCATAAGTTCTGAATCAAGCACAGTGATGAAATCTCCTGTCCTGTCCCACCCAGGATGAGAATCATCTTTTTGTCCACAGTGTCCACATTGTCTACGCGCCACATACATCACTCAGTAGTTGTCATGGTGATCAGATCAACCATCCCAAAGCACAATAGTGACGCTGCCAGCCTGGATATGCCAAATAGAAGCTGTCAAGTGTTTCCTTCTTGTGAAAAGGTACAAGTTCTCAACTTAATCAGGAAAGAAAATCATGGAATGAGGTTGCTAAGACCTATGGTAAGAATGAACTTCTGTCTATAAAATTGTGAAGAAGGAAAAAGAAACCCGTGCACAGCATGTATAGGCCTCAGTACTATCCAAAGTTTCAGGCATCTGCTGGGGCCTTTGAACATCTCCCCCAGAAGGGGAGGCGAATGTTCTGCCTATTCAAAATCTCCACTTGGATGTCAAGTAAGAACCTTATACTCAACAAGTCCAAAGTAAAAATCTTGATTCCCTGTGAACATTCCACCCCCACCCTCCAAAGTCTTTCCTATTTTAGTAAACAGCAACATTTTTCCCCAAACCTCGAGTCATCCTTGACTCCTTTTTTCTCTCACAAGCCACATAAGCAATCCCGTTAGCTCGACCTTCAAAATATATTCACAATCCAACTACAAAACACCTGGTCCACTGCTCCTCCCCTGCATTCAAGTCACCACCACTTTTCACGTGCACTCTGCTTTCATATCTACTCTCAAATTCAGCAGCCAGAGTGACCCTACAAGAAAACAGGGAGGGAAGTTACTGCATCCCATCTTCTACCATGTCCCCTGTGCTTCTCACGTTCTGTCTCTCCTTTGCTCACTCTGCTCCAATGACAGGAATCTTCTTGCTTTTCCTGAATACCCAAAGTGCAATCCCACTCAGAGCTTTCACATGGGGCCATTCCCTCTGCTTCTTCCTCCAGATAGTCACCCGTGACTCTTCCGCATCTTCCAGGTTCCAGCTCCAGAGTCACCTTCTCAGAGACACCCCTTCACTGTTCCCACGAGTGCTGTTCCCCATATTCCCTCTCCCCCATTATCCTTGCTTTAGATTGTCTGCAGCATTTTCCCCTTCCTTCTGATAGGTGTCCGTGTTGGTTCATTGCTCTCTGCTAGGGCATCAGTTCGAAGAGAACAGACTTAGTTTTGTTCACTGCTGTATCTAATGGGCCCCAAATAATATGTTATAGACACTAAAATACTTGGAGAATAAAAATTATGCCATTGTTTTAGATGGTAAACTTAAACCAATCGTTTTGTTCTAATTCACATGAAAGGTCCCCAAAGTTTGAATTATTTGGAGTTTTCTATTCTGAATCTCAAATCCTCCCCTTCTCTGATAGTAATAAAATTATTATTACATGCATGGTAGCTCATGCCTATAATCCCAGCACTTTAGGTGACCAAGGTGGGAGGACTACTTGAGGCCAGGAATTTGAGATCAACCTGGCCACCACAGCAAGACCCTGTCCCTATTTTTAAAATTAAATTAAAAAAAAAATTTAATACCCCTTTTGATCACCACAATCTGTAAAGAAGAAATTGTTTGGTTAGTCTAAAATGAATTATGCTTTGATTTTCCTAAACTTTTTTTTTTTTTTAATCAAACTGTTTATTGTTGCTTTTTGCCATTTGTAGCATTTTACACACAGGCTTCGATCTTCAGAATACCCTGGATCAGTAGAAAAACCTTTTAAATGAAGTTTTGTACAATAGAAACTTCTCAGCAGTCAAAATTGAGACTATAAAAAATACATGCAAAACATACTTTTCTGAAAACACTAAACTTTGAACACAGCACCGAACTACACAAATGCAGAATGAAAACAGCATTTCAACTCCACCAAAAGTAGTCATCATAAAAGGTGTAAATGTAACCTAACTTCACTAGGCACTGTTCACTTTTTAAACAAGAGACAATAAAAAATATTGTCCACAAACAATATCCCAGCTCAAGGGCAGATTTCGGAAAGTCTTTAGCGACGAGGTGAGTATGATCGAGATCTGGAACGTGATCTGTATCCTCCACGACTGTAGTAAGAAGGTGACCGCCTTCTATAAATCTGATCCCTGTCTTGCGCAGCTCTCCATCCTCATCCTCCTCCACCTCCTCCTCTGTATGATCAGCTGTAGTAGTCCCGATCATCATAACCTCAATCATATCCTCTGTGGTAGTAATCCCGACGTCGAGAGCTGCCATAGGTAGGTCGCCCCATGTAAATTCCTGGTGTTGGGGTATGTGGTCTTTTTGTTATAGAGAAATCAACTCTGATTCTACACCCATCAAGTTCCATTCCATTGGCACGTTCTTTAGCTTCCTTGGCATCATCTACATTTTCAAAATACACAAAGGCAAATCCTCTTGAATGTCTAGACTGCTGGTCATGTACAATAGAGACATCGGCAATGGGACCATACTTAGAGAACACTTCTCTTAGATCTCTTTCTGTGGTGTACAAGCTCAAACCAAATACTCCAAGACAACAGTTTGGATCAGGATTTGCCCGATTCCCAACATGGCGCCTGCGAGTAGACATGGGAGAATGGCTGTGGCTGTGCCGTCTACGATAATCTCGACCGTGACATCTGCTACGGGATCGTCTATGGGAGCGGGCCCGAGACCGTGGCCTTGCATAATGCCTTAGGGAGCTTCTTCTGGATCTAGACCTAGATTCAGATCTGGACCTGGACTTTGATCTGGAACGCCTGGAATCTTCCTTGGAGCAAGACCTTGCAGGGGTATGCCTTGCAGATTTCCCCAATCCGTGAGCACTTCCACTTCTGGAAGCAGAACGGGATTCCAGCTCGCCGTAGTTCTGCTTGCCGCTGTCGCTCTTGACTCCCAGGTGCTGTCACGTGCTTCCACGGAAGCTGCCAACCGCTTGCGCCTTCTCTGAGGCTCCGCCACAGCCTCGCTCTACGCACTGGTTCCCGAGCCGCCCGGAGCCGAAGCGCTCCTCCTAAACTCTTTAATTGTATTCATAAGCTAAAAGGATTAGGGAGCCTTCTATTACTAGCCATTGGGAAATTTAGTTTTCTTTCCTTTTCTTTTTTTTTTTGAGTTGGAGTCTCACTCTGTCACCCAGACTGGAGTGCAGTGGGCGCTCCCGGCCACCGCAGCCTCGACCTGCTGGGCTCCGGCGATCCTTCCGCCTCAGCCTTCCGAGTAGCTGGAACTACAGGCGCGCGCTACCACGCCCGGCTAATTTTTTTTGTTTTATTGTAGAGATGAGGTCTCGCCAAGTTGCCCAGGCGGGTCTCCAACCCCGCGGCCTCAGGCAATCCACTCACCTCAGCCTGCCAAAGTGCTGGGATTACAGGCTGAGCCACCGAGGCCGGCACTTTTATTTTCAATTCTCTGTGAAATCAGGATATTTTGGGCAGCAAATCTTGAACGCTCATCTATTCTTTTTCTCTCCCCACCAAAGCTGCTCCCCCACATCTTAGCTTCAAACACAAACGCTCAGAAAAATATCTAAGATTCAGGTCCCCCACAAATCTGTCCCATAGCAAATCTTAAGAAAAAGCACTAGCAGGGCTCGGTGGCCTAGCCTGTAATCCCAGCGCTTTGGGAGGCTGAGGTGAGTGGATTGCCTGAGCCCGCGGGTTCGAGACCTGCCTGGGCAACTTGGTGAGACCTCATCTCTACAATAAATCAAAAAATTAGCCGGGCATGGTAGCGCACACCTGTAGTTCCAGCTACTTGGAAGGCTGAGGTGGAAGAATCGCCAGAGCCCAGCAGGTCGAGGCTGCAGTGGCTGGGAGCATGCCACGGAGTGAGACTCCAACTCAAAAAAAAAAACAAAAGAAAAGAAAAAGCACTTCAAAATCAAACACAATGGATTCAGACCAAAGCTTGCCCTAAACGGAGCAACCTGACCCGAGACTCAAAGCACTTTTTGCTTTTGCCTCATTTAATCCTCTAGCCCGGATCTTCTTTTTCCTGCTGTCTTCAATGTGGTTGGAAAGGAGCAGAGAGTCTCAACAGGAAGCTACTCGATCTCGGCAGGTGGAAGAGTACCAGGACTTGTCACGTTTCTGTAATGTGACAGAGAAGGTCAACTCAAGGGGTTTTACTTCCTCTACAAACTACCTCACCCGTGCCTGTGTATACGAGGGTGGTCAGACACACCCTGAGCAGGCCATGCTGTCAAGCCTACAAAAAAGGTATTAGGATTGTTTTCTTCCCCCCCCCACCCCGCACCCCCATCTTAAGCTTTTATAGTGAATTGTTTTAGCTCCTTCTGAAAGCAATGGATCAGAATCCTGCCTCACTTCAAGAACGAGTTGGCTCCTGGTTACCATGGTAATAAGCACCCTATGAACAGGGATAATTTGCCACTTTGCTGAAAATTCAAAGCAATCTGTAGTTTTTTTTAAAAAGTCAGAAGTAAAGTAGGAGGAGCAATGAAACCAATTATGAAGTATATTTATTAAACATGTAAAGGAGTGTTTCTTGACTCTGAAGAACAAGATTTTAAATTATTTAGTTTATAGGAAAAAAGAAGGGAATGAGAGGACCAAAGACAATAACCACACTGGACTACGGTCTAACTAACATGTATGGCTCTACCCCATTGCAGAACCCAGCACTATAGATTTTCCAGAACAAACGGAGGTTTTCAGATTGCTCACAGATACACAAAACACATTAAGTTATCCATATGTTCAGAAAGTTCCTCTGTAATAGTCTGATTAGGAAGAAACATCCACCAAAGTAACTAAGAAGCAAGGAGGGCAAATAGTAGTGTGCAAGCCCAATGCTGTTAAAGTTTAACAGTTTAAGAAGTCATATCTCAATCAATTCTTAAAGAGAAATAATATTTAGCACTGCTATAGACAATGTTTATGTCCTATACCCTCCAAAATTCAAATGTTGAAGCTTAATCCCCAATTTTGAGTTGGGGCTTCTGGGAGGTGATTAGGTCATAAGAATGGATCCCTCATGAGTGGGATCAGTGCTCTTGTAAAAGAAACCCAGGGAGCTCTCTCCTCCTAAGGAGATGGCCATCTAAAAACTAGGAAACCGCGGGCATGGCAGCTCAAGCCTGTAATCCCAGAACTTTGGGAGGCAGAGGCGGGAGGACTGCCTGAGCCCAGGGGTTCAAGACCAGCCTGGACAACTTGGTGAGACCTTGTCTTTACAATAAATCAAAAAATTAGCCATCCATGGTGGCGCACGCCTGTAGTTCCAGTTACTTGGAAGGTTGAGGTGGAAGGATCGCCTAAGCCCAGTAGGTCTAGGCAGCAGTGGCTGTGAGCGTGCCACTGCATTCCAGCCTGGGCGACAGAGTAAGACTCCAACTCAAAAATAAAAAAATAAAAACTAGGAAATAGACCCTTATCAGACTCCAAATCAGCTAGTGCCTTTATCTGGGACTTTTCAGTCTCTAGAACTGTGAGAAATACATTTTGGTTGTTTATAAGCCACCCAGTCTATGGTATTCTATATTAGCAGCCTAAACAGATTAAGTACTTATTCCTGATAAAAATTCTTAGCAAACTAGAAACAGAGAAATCTAACAATATATTAATATATATTTATATTAATATAATAATAAATGGGATCTACCAGAAACTTACAAAAAATAGCATACACAATGGTAAAATATTAGAATCATTCCCAGAAACAGCTAGAGATAAAACAATGTCAGCCATCACATTACAAAAAAAGACTAAAACATTGAAAGGAAAGGCGTAAAAATCTGTCATTACCTGCAAACTATATGCTAGCTGGGGCTTTCAAGTTAAATCATCAAATTAAAAAGTATTTGATTTAACATAACTTCAATAAACTTATCAGATAAAAGATCATGTTTTTAAAAATTAAACAGAAAATTACCACATGACCCATCAATTCTACTCCTAGGTATATACCCAAAAAGATCTCAAATACTTGTACACAAAAGTTTACAGCAGCACTGTTCAGAGCAGGCAGAAGGTGGGAACAAACCCAAACGTCCGTCTCATCAAATGAATGGATAAACAAACTGTGGTATATCAAACAACGGAATATTTATTCAGCCATAAAAAGGAGCAAAGTATTAATAAAGACTGCAATACAGATGGACCTTGAAAGTTAAGTGAAAGAAACCAGACACAAAAGGCATATGAAATGTCCAGAATAGGCAAATCTATAGATATAAGTAGAACAATGGTTGCCTAGAGCAACCACTGGGGGGAGAAAGGGAAGGTGAGTAACTGCTGATGGGTATGAAGTATTGAAGGGGTGATGAAAACGTTCTCTAATCAGACAGTGTGATGACTGCACAACTTCATGAATACACTAAACGTCAGTGAACTGCATACTTTAAAAAGGTAAATTTTAGCCGGGCTCGGTGGCTCAGCCTGTAATCCCGTGCCTTTGGGAGGCTGAAGTGAGTGGATTGCCTGAGCCCGCGGGTTCGAGACCCGCCTGGGCAGGCGAGACCTCGTCTCTACAATAAAATCAAAAAATCAGCTGGGCATGGTAGCGCGCACCTGTAATTCCGGCTACTTGGAAGGCTGGGGCAGGAGGATCGCTGGAGCCCAGCAGGTCGAGGCTGCAGTGGCCGGGAGCGGCCACTGCACTCCAGTCTGGGCGACAGAGTGAGACTCCAACTCAAAAAAAAAAAAACCAAAAAAAAAAAGGTAAATTTTACAGTATGTGATTTATATCTAAATCTTAAAAAGTATTGTAAATAGATCGGTAAGATTCAAGGTGAGAAAACTGTAACTCCCAAAGTATAATTTAAGGCTATGGTAATCAAGGCAGCATAGCATCAGTATAGAAAAAAGTAAGAGGATAAATAAAACCGCATCCCAAATGATTAAAGAGACATGTCAAATAAGTGGGAACAGCAAGATGGTTGAATAAACTGAGAAAACTCAACACCTGAATGAAAAGGTACGTCATAAACAAAAATTTGAAAGCGGCAGATTAAGTAAAATGCAAAATCCAATATTCCCAAATATGGGAGAATGATGTTATAACCTTAGTGGGAAGTTAACACTTCCTAAACAAGACACAAAATACCTGATAGGGTTTGTAGGGGGATGGGAGAGGAGGTTGTAGTTAAAACTACTCATCATGTGAACCTCACAAGGGGAGCACAGAGTCGCAAAGGTCCATAAATCTAACACTCTGCTCTAACATTAGCATCCTAGTACTAATTGCTTTGCTGCCAATATCTGCTTTCCTGAGACCTCATCCCAAAGCTAATGTGACTGATAACTTCCTGGTACTATCAGTGTTTGCTTTCCTCAGGGTGCATTTCAGAGACAAGTGATTAACAACATCCTGAGAGAGACTGGTTTAGTGTAGACATCTGCACTTCCAGGACTTGGGACAAGCAGCCCTCAACAGTGCCGATATCTGCATCTCAAGGCCAGTTCATACTCCATAAACTGCTTCTCCAGCTGATAAACCTCGACTGGGGTTTTATAAGGGGCCTGCAAGAGAACAAAAGCTGCTAGTTCTTCTTTAGGGCCAGTCTTTCTCTCCTTTTCCTCTAATACATTTTATTTAATCACTCAGCTTGTCCTCTCTTTCTGCACATTCGCCTTACAATGTCGGCATACCTAAATACAAATGTTAAACTTCTATTTGGAAAAAAGACATCATAAGGTTAAAACACAAGCAAAGGAATGGGACAATATATTTGCAATACGCACAAAGGATTAATTTCCATGATATTAAATTGTTTTCCCAAGTCGGGGGAGGTGGCAAGGGGAGACACACTATTTTAGCATAATACTACTGGTGCAAAACAAACAAAATTGAAAAGACCACGTGTAGTTTGCAAATACATAGAAAGATGTATTTATATAGACATATTTATGTATGTATATATGTATAAGACAGAGTCTCACTCTGACACTCAGGCTACAGTGCAGGGGTGCAATCACAGCTCACTGCAGCAACACCTCCTGGGCTCAAGAGATCTCACCTCAGCTCAAGTAGCTGGGTCTGC